CCGAGGGAGGAACGGAAGTGCTACTATCCCCATTTTACAGATGGGAAACTGAGGCAGAGAGACACTAATTCATGTGCCCAAGGTCACTCGGGAATTTTTGGCGGAGCAGGGAAGTGAACCCTGGACTCCGGCTAATGACCTAACCACTGGATCCTCCTCCCAGGTCATGAGTATGGAAGGAGCGTAGATTTTGCTGTATTTGAGTATAGAGTGGTCTCCCGAGAAGGTGGTTGGGATATCATCGACTGGGGGCTTTTGAAATTGCACTAGAAAGTATGCTGACCAATTCTGCACTAGCAGGAAGGTGGACTAGATAATCTAACTGGTCTTTTCCATCTCTGACTGCCATGATTCCTTTGCACTCCATGGCACATCTCCTACCAGAATGTCATGATGCTGAAGAGGCTTACAAGGCCCGAATGATGACTTAGTGCTCACAGTATAAACCTGTATCACAAAGACAGTCCTTGTCCTAGGAAACTCACAATCTAGGAGTTTGACAATACACAATATGGGAATAAACACACATACATGAGGTGGGTAGGTGGCAAGGGAACATTAATGATGGGTGTATTTGCACACAGTAGTAGTCATGGCAGGGTTCATTGTTCACAGTGGCCGCATGAAAAACGCCTATTCCTTTACACATGTGACGCAGCTGACTTAAAAACCACTGTCAAGGGGAATTTTGCCTGGGTATGAACTGAGGGAATTGGACTCAAATGTTCAGTTTTATGGAAGCGGTTGCATCCCAGGATGGGACCTAAGTTTCATTCAGCTTGGCCACAGAGGTGATTTGGTTTCACACATAGAGCTTGTTTTTATGCCATAAAGAACTGGATTGTGTGCAACTAGATACATTACACTTCTTCATACCTCTCTCCTCACACCCCCACACACTGCAGAAAAAGCAAAATTAATGAGTCATTACATAATTCACAGAGTTTCACCAAAATATCACTTTCTATTTAGAACACAGAATCATCCAAGAATAAATCATACAGCCATTACTGATTTAAAATCACTGACGTTTCTTTATCTCAGATAAAATTAATAGTATTACCATTATAAAAAGAACACTGAAGTTAATGTTAACATACATACACACACACACACACGTCTTCTCCAATACCTCAAAGATCATTATGAAATCCATGCTTTCCCCATTTCTGTTCAAATTCTCACTTGCTAATATCAGCACAAAACGAGTAGGAATCTAAACAAAGACACATTTAAAAAAAAAAACTCACCCAAAGACCTTTGATATACTGCTGGCCTCTCATAACCATGTTCTTGTTGTTTCTCCCAGCACTTTCAAAACACATCAGCTGGTGCAAATAGTGTGGTGTTTTTTTGTTTTTAAATCTATAATATAAACCAGAGCTTTTCCCTCTAACATTATAACAAAAGTATTCGTAATGTTCTAGGTTGAGAGGCATGGGAGAGAGACTTTGTTACTTATCTCTCAGCTATCTGAGAGCTTGCTCCGACAACTTCCATGGAAGTCAAGTGGAGAAATTCCACTGAGTTTAATAGGGAACTGATTGGGGCCTGAGACGGGTAGTTTCTGAGAAGTCTATAGAATTGTGGGAAGCAAGGCCCAGCTTTCGCAGTCCATCCCCATTCAGCAAAACACATGCTTAGCTCCTATTGATGTTAATGTTGATCACGTGCTTAAATGCAGCCCAAGTGGGTGAGCCAAAGCCCACCGGAATCAATGAGAACTTTACAGTGACTTCAGTGGGCTTTGGATCAGGCCCTTACATATGCAAGATGGGACACAAAACAGGGGTAAAACAAGTGAGCAGACTCAGCAGGGTTAGTGAGGCACTGTAAGGCCAGTGGGTCTCAAAGCCGGGCCTGAAGAGTTGGCAGACAGCAAACACCTCCAGGCTGCTAAGCATCAGCAGCTATACCCAGCTTGTATTCCCTTATCTATGACCTGCTGTGGACAGAAATTGCAGGAAGTCCCGCCTCAAGGAGTCCGACAGGCAGCAGCCTCATGGCTCCTGAGTGGCTCCCACTCTATATAAACCCCAAGGGCGTTCCAGGAAGTGTCCAGGCAACAGCATAGATCTCCTGTAGCTGCCACGACAATACAGGCTCTTGAAAGACCTCAGCTTGATTTTGACCTCTCCTCCTGGCCTGGACCCTGAAACCTGACTCAGACTCTGACGCTGGGTATGCACCTCAGGCTAGAAGCTGCCTACGAACTCCTCCATTACTTGCAACTTTAGGTTTGACTTTGCTCCTCTCTGTCCTTGGCAGCATGCTGACAGGCACAGACTGTCCAGAGTGCTCTTCCAACATTCCCCAAAAAACCTACTCTCCTCCAAGGACCCCACAAACAATTCAGTGCCCAAATGAGGCTGAAACTTATGTTTCTGGTTTCTAAATGGATTAAACAAGGCTCTCCAAGGTTGTGTCATCACGGAGAATTCCAGGGTGGAGGACAAGGCACACAAATCCCAGATTTACCATTACCAAGGGGAATAGACTGGAGAAGGCAGACATATGGACATCTTAGCAGCTTCAAAAAGCCTAAAACCAGATTTTCATTAGGAATATTTCTAGTTAAGCTCTCCTGTTATCTGCAACACCTCACTCAGGTAAAACTGCACACTATCCCAGGTGCTGGAGGGATCCCTCTAATAGCCCACCTCTGCTACTATCCTTACTGTTTGTATGGCATTAGCATCTAGAGAGGCCCAGCCTAGACTCAGACCCACTGTCCAAGGTGCTGCACAAACACAGCATAAAAGACAGTCCCTGCCCTGAGGAGTTTCCTGTTTAAACAGACAAGACAGAGAGAGGGTGCGAGCGAGAACAGAGGCAGTGATTTGTCCCAGGCCACACAGCTCAGTGGCAGAGTCAGGAACAGACCCCTGGACTCCATGCTCCTCAGCCAGTGCCTTGCGCATCAGAACACTATCGTCACATTTACTTTGCGTTCACTTCCCCATGCGGGGCTCTGGAGACCACTTTCCCCCAAGGTCCCCGCCACGTGACATTCAATTTCACGCTCCCAAGAGTTTTCCTCAGTGCATCTGCCGCTGGACACGACTCCTCTTGTGCTCAGCAAAAAGTACAGAGGAAGCTAATGTAGCTTTTCTTCCTCTAAAAGCTAACCTCTTCCATGGCACTGAAGTGTTAACGTATGAGGAAGAATTAGCCAGTTGGTGTCTTTATTAAGGAGGGACTAGCTAGTCTCCTGTGGGGGTGATCTAAACCCATTGTGGCTTGCATAAGCATCTAGCCCATGGGAGGCCACTATTCCATTGGAAGAGAGAAGAGGAGAAAGTGGAAGGAGCAGATAATACATTCAGTTACAGAGCCTTGGGGCAGAATCTTTAGCAACAAAAATCCATGTGGCTATTTGTCATAAGAACATAAGAATGACCATACTGGGTAAGACCAAAGGTCCATCCAGCCCAGTATCCTGTCTGCTGACAGTGGCCAATGCCAGGTTCACTCCCACTGGGGCATCTAACAGGTAATGATCAAGTGATCTCTCTCCTGCCATCCATCTCCAACCTCTGACAAACAGAGGCTAGGGACACCATTCCTTACCCATCCTGGCTAATAGCCATTTATGGATTTAACCTCCATGAATTTATCCAGTTGTCTTTTAAACCCTGTTATAGTCCTAGCCTTAATAACCTCCTCAGGCAAGGAGTTCCACAGATTGACTGTGCACTGAGTGAAGAAGAACTTCCTTTTATTTGTTTTAAACCTACTGCCCATTAATTTCATCTGGTGGCCCCTAGTTCTTATATTATGGGAACAAGCAAATAAAATTTCCTTATTCACTTTCTCCACACCACTCATGATTTTATAGACCTCTATCATCTCCCCCCTTAGTCTCCTCTTTTCCAAGCTGAAAAGTCCTAGCCTCTTTAATCTCTCCTCCTATGGGACCCGTTCCAAACCCCAAATCAGTTTAGTTACCCTTTTCTGAACGTTTTCTAATGCCAGTATATCTTTTTTGAGATGAGGCCACTTACATATGTTTGTGAGCTTACATGTATAAGGGATGTGCCAGTGTACCTCTGCATATCTGACCGAAGTGTAAAAAACAGGTGAGCAGCTCTGTTAATCACAAATGGTTTCTTCAGCAAGAGACCACCAAAAATAAAAATACCATATTAAAATAACTGACTATATTATTAATTGGGAGGAGAATAGCAGTATTACTTAGAGGCCCCAACTGAGATCAGCGACTCATTGGCCAAGCAGTAAACATACACATGGCTAGAGAGAGTCCCTGACCTAAAGAGCTGCTTGGTTCATCTATATCAGGAATAACTGAGTGGCGCATAAGTCACTTTATTTAACAGCGAAAATAAGAACCAGCATTTTTAACTTGATTTGATTTTCAGACTTGAAAGTCTCCTAGAGACCATCTTATCTGTCACTTACACAGACATGACAATGAATTAGTGTCCCCACCTCATTCTCTGATCATAAAAGCATAGTGTTTGCAAAGTAATTTATTTCCCCACATTCTCTCCTAAATGTGACTGAATTTTATGGCAACACTGTTTATAATTCACAGATTGAGACTCTAAAAAGTTCCCCATGCAAAGTGTGTTAACAGTTCCGCATACACCAAGCCCCATGAACTTTTTTCTTATCTCACATAATGTCCATAAGTGAAATCAGTATGGGGGCCACAATTTACAGAAACACACTCTTCTACATGAGTTATTTGTTCTGGCACTTAAAGAAGAGTAATGTTAGACATCCACAGAATAACACAGGTTCATTAAAAATTGACAACAGCATTATCAGATACTTTTTAAATCAATGAGTAGCTTGTGGCATTTTTATTTATATGGTATCTGCATATTCTAATCATGAATTCTGGGAACCACAGAACCAAAACAGCAGGACACCGATGCATGGAATAACCAGCAGGCTCCTATTGCTATGAGTTTACCAGGAAACAATCAAGTCATTTCCCCCCAAAACGCATAAGAAGAAAATAAGAATTTACTTACACTGCACAATGAGCTGCACCAATGCTTCTCTGGGTTTCACATTAAATCCATTGTACTGACTGGTCTGACATCTGTATGTTCCTGTCATCTCCCTTGACACATTCACTATCCTCAGTATTCCATCATAGCTCTCCATCTGCATGGATCCATCTGGCATTGCAATCTCCTTATCAGCTCTGGACCAAAGAATGATAGGTTTGGGCTTTCCGGTCACCTGGCATTGTAGTTCTATAATGTCTCCTTCCCGGGTGACTAAAGGTGATTTTTCTTGTGGAACAGTCAGATTGGGCGGAACTTCAAAGGGAAAGGGGGGGGGGGGGGAAGAAGAGAAGGTTCCCTAGTTAGTATTTACAGGGAAAGTAGTTGCAAAAATGAAGAAAAGATACATTGTTGCTACTAGTATTTTTATGAGATGAACCTTTTGGTCGCATGGCTTTCCGTTGAAGTATGTTTGACCTTGCAAACTTTTTTTTATCATAGAACTGACTGCAGACCACATATAGAACAGTCAAGGACTAAAGACAACATTCAGAAATCTGTCACGACATTACCCGCAAAGGCTTTTCTTAATGCACATTTTAAACCTACGAACAAACAACTCTGGGAAGGAACATTTGAACAGTTCTTTCCAACAAGTGTCACGTAATCCCTTGACTAGGACCTTGGCATAACGATGATAAGAAGAGGTGGTCAATGCAATCAGTGCTCGTGTACAAAATACACGATAACATTTCCACTTTTTCCTAGACAGCTTGTTCCCCCGTTTGAAAGAGTCTACCAGGGAAGGTGCGAGATCAGAAGTAAGTGCAGCTTGTAACTATATACTCGTGTCACCAGACTAGTGTTTGTGCTAGGAGCCTATTAGCATTCAGCTGAGCTTTCCGCAGTTAGCCCCATTAGAGATGGCACTTCTGCCTCTGTACTTTACGTAGCTACTTTTGATAAGTACAGAGCACTAAGAGCGTCAAAGGCTTGAAGAGAACATTTTTGCCATGTTCAATTATCGTCGCAATCTCATCACGCTATATTCGTTTTGTAACCCAGCTTTTTCTTCTCTCTTAGCCGTGGGCTTAATGCAGATCAAAATACATTTCCTGGAGTTGTGCATGATTTCTAGATGTGAACAGCCACATTGGGCGCCACACAGTCTTGTTTCAGAGTAACAGCCGTGTTAGTCTGTATTCACAAAAAAAGAAAAGGAGGACTTGTGGCACCTTAGAGACTAACCAATTTATTTGAGCATGAGCTTTTGTGAGCTACAGCTCACTTCATCGGATGCGTTTACTTGCATGGATAACACCTACAAGTGATTGCTAGCTTTGTAGTAGGTCCATTTAAATACAGATACATGCAGTGTGTGGAGGGAAAACCATGTGACGGTGCAGAGCCATGCGATAAGTACATTTATCATGTATCATTTGCTTGCCCACCCTCAGGAGACTATCCACCCCCTAGGACTTGTTCTAAGGCTTCAAATCTCTCAGCACATTCGAATACCACAGTTTCCTTTTAATCAGCCTGCCAGAGAAAAGTTGCTTCTTTCCCCCTAAAACATGGACTTTTTTTAAAAAATAAAATTACCCTACCCCCAGCCAGGATGGGCAAGATTCAGTTTGCACCAAACCAAACCTTCTGTCCATAAAAAATTGAAACATTCAAACCTGCCTCAGTGCAGGGGGCTGGACTAGGGAGCCTATCGAGGTTCCTTCCAGTCCTACATTTCTATGATTCGTTGATTCTACCTCACAGCCCCGCAGGGCCAGAAGTGGGACCTTTGTACTGGTGAGAAGGGGAGACAGAGCCCCATCATCCCCCTGGGACCAGCGCTCATTTCTAGGCCTGCAAGATCCTTCAGTATCAGACTTTAAAACGGGGACATTTTCAGGCACAGCAATGCTCTTTTAGACTATTTCACAGGCTTTAGTAGCTCCCTCCTAATTCTGCCATAACGGAGGCAAACTGGTTTTACAGAAGGATATAAAAAAATGAACCTGTACTTAAAATGCAGATCTTTCTAAAACATTGCTAGAATATATTCTTGTGTAACATGTGAGGCACAGACCTACAAAACAGGTGATGGTATTGGGCACAATGGCTTGATGGGGCATCATCTGGCAAATCCTAAATACCTCAGTCAGAGCCTCGCCAGCCATGAGTATTGCAGTCATCCCAAGCACATGGGGATAAAATCACTACACCCCCCACCCACGTTGTGTTCTTTCACTCACAGGCACACAGGGAAAGCGTGTGTATGCGAATACATGCTTATATAGCAAACAGACTGAACAACAAACTATCAGGAGCAGGCTGAAGAAGCTGACGTGAAATGAAGGTTTCTCACTCAAAAAGAACAGACATGGGAATACAATGGCTTGAGAAAAAATACATCTGACACCTTTCCCTTTATACCAAATGCCACATACTGACATGGGAGAAAGAGAGAATAATAGCATGCAACTCATTACACAGCTGTTCTCAGTCCCGATACCCGTTATAGCAATAGGGTTGGAGGAGGGGGGAAGGGAGGCCAAAATGTCGTTCCCCCAGGGAATCACCATGGCCGAGCTGCTTCCCCCCAAAAGAGGAGGAAGAAAATACTGATGGAGTTTCTGACTCAGCAGAAACAAGATAGCACTCAAAGAATAAATCTTTCTCGGATACAATATTTATCAGTACACTCAGACCACATCTCACTCTCCCCCTCCCCACAGACACTACTGCAGTAACAGCAACAATAATAAACGATTTGTCGTCAGAAGTCAGGCAAGTTAACAAAAGCAGCCCAGCACCAACAAAATCATCTCTGCCCAGAATCTCATAGACTCACTGAAATGCAGGGCTGGAAGGGAACTCAAGAGAGGTCAGGTTGTCTAGCCAGACACTGAAGCAGGACCAAGTAACTAGATGATCCCTGACAGGTGTTTGTCCAGCCTGTTCTTAAAAACCTCCAGTGAGGGGGATTCCACAACCCCCTAATATCTAACCTAAATCTCCCTTGCTGCAGATTAAGCCAATTATTTTTGTCCTACCGTCAGTAGATATGGAGAACAACTGATGACAGTATTCTGTGTGCGTGTATATAGATATAATATGTGAACCTTTTCTGTAGAACTACTGCCTAGCCAATTACACCTCATTTTGCATGTGATTTTTCCTTCCTAAGTGTAGTACTTTGCTATTGTCTTTATCAAATTTCACCTTGTTGGTTACAGACCAATTCTCCAGTGTGTCAAGGTCATTTTAATACTAATCCTGTCCTTCATATTTTAGAGAACCCTCCCAGCTTGGTGTTGTCTGAAAATCTGATAAGCATCATCTCAACTCTATTATCTAATTCATTAGTGAAAATAGTACATAGTACTGGATCCAAGACAAGACTCGCGTGGAACCACAGTAGGTACGATCCCCCAGTATGACACTGAACCATTGATAACTAGTCTTACCCTTCTTCGTTTGTGGTCTGTTTAGTGAGTATTCGAAAGGTGGCTGAAGTATTTAATTTAAGGAGGCCAGAACAAAGTGGAAGAAAACAAAATACATGAACATTTAGCTGGGCGATGATAGCCAAGAAGGATATGCAAAAGCATACAGAAATTTAGCCAAGAGATCTTAGATTTTAAGATCAATAGGGCTGGGACCATTTTTCGTGATGGTTTTGTACAGCACCCAGCATAATGACATGCTGATCCCTGATTAGGGTCTCTAGATGATACCACAATTGTCATTAATGGGAGCAAATATGGATACAGGAGGCAAGTTACACAGGGTGCTGTTGGCAAGGACAAGAAGCTAGTGTTCGATGCAGTTATCAAGAGGATGCCAACGGAAAGATTTGGAGAGGGCATGAATGGAATCAAAACAGTGTGCAAATTACTTGACCTCAGTCTTAAGTATCTAGTATGCACACACAAAAAAAGGAGGACTTGTGGCACTTTAGACACTAACAAATTTATTTGCGCATAAGCTTATGCTCAAATAAATTGGTTAGTCTCTAAGGTGCCACAAGTCCTCCTTTTCTTTTTGCAGATACAGACTAACACAGCTGCTACTCTGAAACCTGTTAGTATGCACACTTCACCGATAGCATCCAGGGACATGAGTTTCAAGCCACTACTTGATTTACAGCAGCATTTTGAATGGACAGTTGGAGGACAGAGAAGGCGAGAGACAAGGAGACTTCAAAGAACAAGGCTGTTGCGCTCAAGGTAAAATATTACCGGTCCAGGATGTGGGTTTTAGCGGTTTGGAGGGATAATAAAGGATGGCATTCTGAGATGTTGCCGAATAAATGCTCAGGAATTAGTGACAGCCCAGACATGGAGGTGGGAGAGGGTTATTACTTACACATCTCCACAGGTGTGCACGATGCTCTGCAGACATATAGGAAGACCATTTGCAACGAGTGGATAACCTAATTAGGAGAGAGAGAGGTTGTGGCTCTGGGAGAGAGGGATAAAGTTCACAAGTATTTGGCGCATGGAAACACCAAGAAGGGACCGGGCTGTGTAGAGTGGGCCAATGGCAATTGAACCAGTAAGGATGGACCAAGTCAGGCAAAGGAATGTCTGTGCATCAAGAAATAATCCCACACTGAGATTAGACTGAGTTAATCAGCCAAGATAATGGACGGAAGCCCTTCACTTGCGTCATTTAAAACTATAGTGCTCAAGGCACTAAAGGACATTGAAGGGAACTACATTGCTGTGTCAGGGAGATAAGAAGCCCCCTTATTTAGGGCTTTGCTTTCTCCAATTTCTACAAAGGTCAAAGGTGATGTTCTGGACCCTTAAAGTGCATCTCCTGCCACAGGCAGCTTTGCGACAGATGCATAGTTCATGGCAAAGACGAAAAAGCTGCTTTGGGAAGAGGGTTAACAAGAGGCCTGGCTGAAACTGGCGACAGCTATCCAAGATGGTCTGTGAAAGGCAGCCTCAGAGCTACCTCATTAAGCTTTAGTAAGGCAGCCATTAATCATCATTAGGGACCTTCTCTTTCTTAATGGACCATTTCCTGGAAGGAGAGTGAAATTGTTTACCAACCCATACTGTGTGTTTGTCTTCAAACAACTGTTTGGGGAAACTAGGAAGGGGATTTAGCTGGCATCTTGAGAATGGGCAGAAGAAGAGTTGGTATCTGGACAGCTAGTGAGACTGCCAGTCCTGCCGAAAGGGATTGCTTTCAAAAGATGTAAACTTTTGAACCTTTCATTCACTTTTCCTTTCTTCTTCTCGGGAAGTAAGCTGAGAAGGTCTTATGTAGTTTAGCTTAAGAAAAGTGTAAATCTAGAGGTGTCA